CCCCAACTCCATCGCAGCCCTAGCTGGTGCTCCCTCGTCCCTATCAGAGAGATAAATCTTATACACCTCACACAGCCCTGCTCCCATCCCTTCAGAACCAGGATTATTTGAGATTTATGAGGAGGAGGTTAAAGTCACTGGCCACGTTCCCATGCCCTCCCAGGCCCAGCTGTCATGCCCCCTAAATCCTGAGAAGGTCTAATAGCCTTTCCTCCCCTGCTCCCATTTTTCTCTCTCCAGTTAGATATCCTTTACCCTGAGCTCAGTCGCAGAGCAGGGAGTCTCTCCTTCATGTTCTACAGCTTTGCTGTGCCTCGGGGCTGGGAGGAGGGGGTCCCCGGCCAGCAATCAGAACTTGGGCGCCCGGCTGGGGTCTCTAATTAGGCCTGGCGGAGGCGGCGGTCAGTCAGGCCTTTCATCGCAGGCGCCAGGGATTTCCAGGACCCATCCCGCCCCATTACGCACATCTCTGTCACTTCCCGCCTCTTCTGGCTCCAGGGCGGGGTTAAAGGGGATGAATGATTGGCTCCCCGCCCCCCTGTCTTGCAACCTACCTGGTCTCCTGGTTTTCCAGCTGCGGGGTAGGGGAGGCAAGGATACGAAGAGACAGCAGGTTCTGAAAAATCCGAGGATATGAGTAGAGGGAAGGTCTCCCTGTGAAGTATGGGGTCCTATTGGAACCTCTTGAGGATTTGAGAACAAGGTGGGGAGGGCACGTGGCTAAGGGACCAGAGTTAGAACTGAGTCCTTGAAAGACAACTTTCTGTGGCCAGTAGTGGGGCACTGCACAGGGCCACTCTGAGCATGACCTAGAATGATCTGCAGGCAAGGCATCCCTTGGCCAAATGCTGTTGGGGGGCCTAAAATGATGAGGTGACTTGAACCTCCTCCAGCAGGTCAGTAGTGGTGAAGCTTCCACTCACATCCTTTCTATCTCTTCCTTTGTGTCCTCCTAAAAAGACACACCGAGGCCCGGTGGGCGTGGTTGAGCATTGTCCCATGTACCAGGAGGTGGCAGGTTTGATTCCTAATCAGCATATGCCTGGGTTGTGGGCTCAGTCCCCAGTGGGGAGCGTGCAGGGGACAGCTGATCAAGGTTTCTCTCTTATCAATGTTTCTGTCTCCCCCTCTCCCTTCCTCTCTCTAAAATCAAAACATGTTTTAAAAAAAGACACACTGAGAAGTCCGAGCCAGGAGTACTAGGTGGTTGAGGAGTTTATTTAGGGAAGGATGATGAATCATATTTGTTCTTCCTCTGGGAGGGAGTCTTCAAACAATACCGAAGGGTAAGGGCAAGGGTGGGGGTCTGAAGGGGAGGGAGAAGGGCCACAGCCAGACAAAATGGCAACACACGGTCACAGGCACTACTGACATCACAGACACAGCAGAAGGTGTAGGATAGGGGCTCCAGATCAGATCTCTAACCATCCCAGGATGGGTGGGGTGTGGAAGGAGGGAGGAGGCAGGAGAAAGGGGGAGAGGGGTGGGCTGGCCCCACAGGCCCATTAGCTCTGTCCTCTGATTACCTAACTGTGCTGTCGTGGGGGTGGGCAAGGAAGGGTATGTGTGGGTGCTTCTCTCTGGATTCCACCCCTAACCCTTCAAGCCATACCTCTCAGCTCTCCCTAGGCCCCCTCAGGCCTAGCCTTAGTGAGGAATATTGCCCCCCACCCCTAACAAAACACATCCCTTAGGCCCTAGCCACTGCCAAACCCGCCCAACTTTAAAACATATATTCTTTACTGTTCCATTGTGGGGTGGTGGGGCAGGCTCTCCCCTCTGAAACCACCAAGCATGCCCCATTCTAAACCCCACTCTATCTAGAACCATGACCACGCCCTCACCCCAAGGGTGGCCCATTACTGAATCACCCTTTCAGCCTTCTCACTTTAGAGTCAAATTCAGTCTCCTGAATGTTCCAAGCCACACTCCTTCTGTAGACTCTGTCCCAATCCAAGACCCACCTACTCTGGAGCTTCACCCACTGCCTGGTTCAAGCCACACCCCCTCTAGAACGCTTAGCGTTCTTCCAAGCCCTGTCCCTAGCCCCTCAAGTCACACCCCTTCCATAGAACCAAGTCCTATTACAAGCCTTGACCATGCAGGGGGTCCACCCACTGCTTCACTCAAAGCTATGATCTTTCTAGAAACTCACCCTCAGCCTCCTTCCAAACTCCTTTCCAGAATGCTCTAGGGCACCCCTCTCCTTTGGACTCCACTTCTAGTATGTGTGGAACCCAACCTCCCTGCTTATAGTCCCCTCCATCCCAGAACCCCTCTCCAAGACCACCTTGAATCCCAAGCCCTCCAATATCTGCCTTCCCCCCCAAAACAGGGTTGAATTTTCTGTAATGGCTGTTGTTCAAACATTGCTGGAGAAGTCAAGGCCAGAGTTGGGAGGAGGGGAGGGAGAGAAGGGAGAGACTCTGAAGTCAAGCCCACCCTATCCACACAGCCAAGGTCTGTCTCTTCCCTGTCCCTCTTATATAGACAGTTAAGGGTCTCCTGGCTTGAGGGGTGGAGACCTGGGGTGTAGGGGTGAGCAGGGAGGGCAGGCCTTCTCCTGAGCTCTTGCCCACCCATGGGGTCCTCCTGGACTGCACTGACCTGTAGAGACAAAAGACACAGAAAGGAGAAGGCGTCCAGACACAGGTGGAGCCCTTTAGGAGGGCTGGGCTGGTATGCCTTCGCCTTGGTTTTACCCTCTGTCTGACATGCCTTTTCTTTCTTTTTCTTTTATTCAGAGTCCTGTAGTCAGTTTCATCCCAGCTACCCCTACTGGGAAGGCATAGCTTGCCCCACTAGGTAAGGTACCAAATAAATTAAGGTCCTCATTCCCCTAATCCAAAGAAGTTCATTAATGGGAACTGTTATAATCTATATTGGTTATAATCTGTATTGAGCCAAACCAAGATTCTCATCTTTGTGGAGCTTACATTGTAGCAGGGGAGACAGACTTCAAACAATAATCATCCTATATAATAAAAGGCTAATATGCAAATAGACCAAATGGCGGAATGACCAGTAGCTATGATGCGCACTGCCCACCAAGGGGCAGATACTCAATGCAGGAACTGCCCCCTGGTTGTCAGTGCACTCCCACAGGGGGAGCCACTCAGCCAGAAGCCAGGTTCATAGCTGGCGAGTGCAGCGGCGGTCGCGAGAGCCTCTCCAGCCTCTGTGGCAGTGCTAAGGATGTCTGACTGCCAGCTTAGGCCTGCTCCCGTGGGGCCTAGACCATCAGTTGGAGATCCCCCGAGGGCTCTGGGACTGTGAGAGGGCATAGGCTGGGCTGAGGGACACCCCTCCCCGCCAGTGCACAAATTTCATGCACCGGGCCTCTAGTAATGTATAAAGTTATCTAGCATAGCCCTAGCTGGTTTTGCTCAGTGGATAGGGTGTCAGCCTATGTTCTGAAGGGTCCTGGGTTTGATTCCAGTCAAGGGCACATGCCTGGGTTGCGGGCTTGATCCCCAGTAGGGGGTGTGCAGGAGGCAGCTGATCAATGATTTTCTTTCATCATTGATGTCTCTAGCTCTCTCTCCCTCTCCCTTCCTCTTTGAAATCAATAAAAATATATTTAAAAATAAAATAAAGTTATCTAGCATAACATAAAGTGATAATAAGTGAAATAGAAAAACAAAAAGTAGACCAGGCTGAGGGGTTAGGAGTGCCAGTAAGGGAAGGAAGGTTGCTGTAGTAAGTAGGGTCGTCAGAGAAGTAACATTGGAATAAGAAATTAAGGAGGTGAAGGAATGAACCATGCAGATAACTAGGGGGTGGGAGAGCATTCCAAGCAGGGGGTACAGTGAGTGCAAAGGTCCTTGGGTGGGGCCACATTTAGTGTTTTTGAGGTACAGCAAGGAAGTCAATGGGGCTTGAGTGGAATGAGCAAGGGAGAGTGGTGGGAGGTGATGTCAGGGAGATAGGTAATGGGGTCTCATAGGACTAGGTTGTGAGGACATCAGCTTTAACTCTGGATGAGGTATAAGTCATGGGAAGATTCTGAGCAGAGAAGGATAAAAAGACATGCTATGTTGTTGCTATTTTCTCAATAAATGTTTCTTAACATTAGTAGTGCTGTAAGTGGTATGTGCAAAGCATGAATATGTCTTGGTTACATTCCATAGTCTAGCAGAAGAGACAGCCAATAAATAGTATAAACTAAGCCCTGGCTGGGGAGCTCAGTTAGTTAGAATGTCATCCTGATATGCCAAGGTTTCAGGTTTGATCCCAGGTCAGGGCATATACAAGAATCAACCAATGAATGCATAAATGAGTGGAACAACAAATTGGTCTCTCTCTCTCTCAAATTAATAAAATATATATAAACTAATAATTACAAACTGTGGTAAAGAAAAGCACAGAGTACTATGAGAGAGGTAAGAAACGGGACTTGTAAGGACCTGGCAAGGTGAGGTTATCAGTTTGTGTGGTTGTAAAACTCCAATAGGAAAGCAAGTACCAAGGTAAGGCCCTGAAGTTGGATTGTGCCTGGAACATCGAGGTGACCACTGTGGCTGGAACAGTGTGAACAGTGTGTGTGGGGGTGGGGGGTGGGGAGGGTAAGAGGTGAGAGGTCAGAGAAATGAGGGGAGGGGCTAGATTGTGTAGGGCCCTGTGAAGCCTTTGGCTTTCAATCTGAGTGAGATTGGAACCCTGGCAGAGCTCTGAGCACAGGAGGAAGGTGGCCTGACTTTTTAAAAAGTATTTTTATTGATTTCAGAGAGGAAGGGAGAGGGAGAGAGAGATAGAAATATCTCTATGATGAGAATCATTGATTGGCTGCCTCCTGCACGCCCCCCACCGGGGATCAAGCCTGTAACCAGGGCGTGTGCCCTTGACCAGAATCTAACCTGGGACCCTTCAGTCTACAGGCTGATGCTCTATCCACTGATGAAACCAGGTAGGGCTTAATTTAAGATTTAATGAGGTCTCTCTCAATGCTGTGAATAGAACAGAATGGGAATGGGGGTGGACATGTAAGATGTCTGGGGGAGATGATAGTGAGTAGTGGGAAGATTGTAGATTATATTTTGAAGGTAGAGCCAACAGAATTTTTTTTGACAAATTAGATGTGAGATGTGTAAGGAACTGCTCCCTGCCCTTTCCATTCTGACCAAGTGCCAAAAGCTACCTCCATCTACGTGTTGCCACCTCCTTGCCTTTCCCCTCTCATGACATCCAGCCTGCCTCTTCTCCCCTTCTTCCCCCCCTCATGTATGAGGAAAATCTCACTTTTCTTTTTCAGGTCTGGCAAGCCTTTCCAATGACACCACTCCATCCCTTTTTTCCTTTTTTGAAATTCCAAACCACCTCCCCCACCTGAAGAGTTGGGGAGAGGTGGCAGATGAATCACCTCCTCCCGGATTGGTGAGCTTGTTTGACCGTCATGATTCAAGCCAATCTACTCTCACCATCTATTGGCCTTATCATAACATATTGATTTACCAATCATTTCTAAGACCCTTTTCTCTGAAAGGCTTCGATGCTCCGCTAATTCTCCACTACGCTAACCCCTCTGCTATTCCCTCCTTCATTGGTTGCTCTGCCTGTTTCTCTGTCCCCTTCCATCCCTCGGAGCTGCACTTCTACCTCTCCCATTGGCTCTTAATTCTTCCCATCTTCAAGCGTCACTCTCTTCCTTTCCATTCATTGGATAGGTTTTCGCTCTTTGCTTGTACCGGTAGCTAGCTGTGCCTCTGTATTGGTTCCTTCAAACTCCCACCCTCACTGGTCTGGCCTGCGTCTACGTAACATTTACTATGGACTCTTATTGGTTCACTGACCCGCCCATCTCATTTTAGGTACCCTCCTTGGCCGCACCGCCCGCCCGTCACTCACCAGACTACATCTGATTGGAGAAGGAGGTGGGCGCACCCTGAGGGCCATATCCTTGCTGCCCGTAGTCGCCCTGAGGCCCATAGCCACCAACGGTGCCCGCAGCGGGCTGCCCGTAATCGGGCTGGTAGCCGCCCTGAGGCCCGTAGGAATCCTGGGGCCCGTACCCGCCAGGGCCCTGCCCATAGCCCGCCTCGCCGTAGGCGTCCCCAGGCGCTGGTTGCTTCTCAGGGGCACCAGGAGGTGCGCGTAGGAATGGGGCGGACCAGCCTGTCTCCTTGAACACAAACCACAGGTTGCCGAACCAGAGCACCAGATTCAGGAAGCCGAACACCTACGGAGAGATAAAGCCAGGTTGTCGTCCCACTCCCGTTGCCTTGGCGGCCCCAGGTAACTTCGAGGCAGTGCGCTTCAGGCATGGATCCTCGGGCTTCTGAAGGGTGGTGGTTTCAGAAACCCAGACCACCGAGTCCCAGCGCATGAACGTCAATGTGCAGGAAAACCACTTTGGGGGGTGGGGAAGTAGGGCGTGTTAGAATTCAGATTCCTGGGCCCAGCCAGCATGGCTCAGTGGTTGGGCATCGACCTACGAACCAGGAGGTCATGGTTCAATTCCCAGTCAGGACACATGCCCGGGTTGTGGGCTCAATCCCCAGTACAGGGTGTGCAGGAGGCAACTGATTAATGATTCTCTCTCATTGATGTTTCTCTCCCTCTCCCTCTCCCTATCTGCAATCAATAAAAACATATTTAAAAAAGAATTCAGATTCCTGGGATGTTGGGATCTAGTAATATTGCATACATTTGTTTATGTATTTGCACATTTACCTGTTACACATGCACATTTATCTATAATAATAAAAGCATAATATGCTAATTAGACCTGAAGACCTTCTGGTCAAAGCCTGGGCTGTGACGGAAGCCCGGTCAGAGTGCCAGAGGGAAGCCAGGTGCTGGCAGCAGGGGGAAGGAAGGCCTACTCTTGTATGAATTTCGTGCATTGGGCCTCTAGTATTTGTATAAACTATAGTAAAATCTAAATTTGTGATATAGTAAAATATTAAGCATAAGTTTTTTTTTCTTTATTTTTAAAATTTTTTTAAATTTTTAAAAAATATATTTTTATTGATTTCAGAGAGGGAGAAAGATAGAAACATCAATGATGAGAGAGAATCATTGATTGGCTGCCTCCTGCACGCCCCCCACTGGGGATTGAGCCCACAACCCAAGCATATGCCCTTGACTGGAATCGAACCGGGAACCCTTCAGTCCACAGGCCAATGCTCTATCCACTGAGCCAAACCAGATAGGGCTAAGCATAAACTTTGATTAAATATATAAATGTACCACTAATAGATGGGTAAGTTTGTATATATACGTATACACAAATATATGTATAACTACACATCTATAAAGTATGTAAGCATACTTTTATATTAAAACAAATACATGTTGCCCAGCCGGTATGACTCAGTGGTTGAGCATGGACCTATGAACCAGGAGGTCATGGTTGGATTCCTCATCAGGGCACATGCTCAGGTTGCCGGGCTCAACCCCTAGTGAGGGACGTGTAGGAAGCAGCTAATCAATGATTCTCTCTCATCATTGATGTTTCTATCTCTCTCTCTCCCTCTGCCTTCCTCTCTGAAATCAATACAAATATATTTTTTTAAAAAAGAAAAAGGGTTCCAGAGGGTACTGAGTTGCTGGAGATTTTACATGATGAGGCTGGGGCTGAGATCCAGGTCTCCCAAACTTAATTGTACAGAAGATCTCATGTTCCCCTCTTGAGGACAGTTTGTGGTGTCACAGTAGTTACAATTGCTATCTAATCCTTCAAGGCTCTGTTGTTGGTATGCCTTCTCTGGGTATCTGAACTCTCTTATTCTCTCTCTCCACCACATCCCATGCCAGACTATAAATGACTTAGCCTCCCTCCCCAGCCAGCTTGGCCAGCTTCCCAGGGCTCACCACAGAGGTGTTGAGGCCAGAGGTCACAGGGTCTCTTATCTCCTTGCATGTATTCTCCTTCTGGTGGCAGCTAGGTATCCCCTTGATAATGGTCTCTGGGTCTGTGGCCATCTTCACGTCCGACAGCCCCTTGGCCCATGCCGATGAGCAAACCAGCCACATGAAGGCAAACACTGCCGTGGCCAGGAAGTCCTAGGATGGGCAGGGGAGAGGAAGATGACACTTGTGAGTGGACTGCTTCATACTAGGTTGTGGGACCACCTCAGATCACAGGTTTTCTTGGGAGAGGGGAGTCCCCCAGAAGAGGTCTCTTTCCTCTACCCTTTCCCCAGCACTCGTTTGAAGGTGGCCCTCCTAGCTTGGGCTTGTGAGCGACACAGAGGATGTGAGAGTGTGATTGTTGATATGTGTGTGGGGGTGTGGAGGAATTCTGGGGGATGGTTGTCGAATCTGTGAAAAGTACTGTGTCTTTCCACTTTCGTCTGAATGTGGGAATATGTGTCATTATGTGTCTGGGATGAGGGTATATGAGTACAGCTGTGTAGGAATCAGTGTGTCTGTGTGGCATGACAAGCACGACTGTCACAGTGAACCTCTGTGTGCTCCTTCCTTTGATCTAGACTGTGTGGTTGTGTGAGAGGTAGCAGGTTTCAGGTGTAGGCCTGTCTGGGATTCTGTGTGGGCTGAGTGTGTCCCTGTCACTATGATTTAGTGTTCAGCACCAGCAGCAGTCGCATGTGTGGCTGTTATGATGGCTGCTTGCATGTGGGCCTGTCTGGGATTTGGTGTGACCCGTGAACATGACTGGTTCCCCTGGATCCTGCATACAAGTGGATGTGGGGGCTCACCAGCACTGGTCCTTTGTTGTTTTCTCGGTACTTGTTCTGCATAAAGATGTAGGTGGCCAGAGCCCCCATTGAGTAGAGGAAGGCAAACACAGCCACGGTGACAAAGAATTCCGCTGATGAGGAGTAGTCCCCTAGTAGGAAGACTTTGGAGGTGCCCCCTCTGCAGTCAGGTGCATCAAAGTACACTTGGTGCAGCCTGCATAGAAAGGTAGGCAGGTGTGGCCCAGACTGTAAGAATCCTCTCCTCCCTGCCCAGTCATGAGTCCCCGCGATTGACAAGGTCCCCGGAAGAGGAGGAAATAACCATTCACAGAGCACCTACTGTATACCAGTCACATTTCATTGGTTGCTCATAGCATCCCCTGAAATAAGCTTTATTCATCTCTCATTTTAACAGAGACACCTTGGCCACTTGGTTACTCATAGAACATTCAAGGTACCCTCCCATTCCAGGATCTTTGCACTGGAATGCTCTTCTAGATATCTTTATGTCTTACTCCCTTCATCTCCTTCAAGCTTTGCTCAGTTGTTCTCTTCTCAGTGAGGCCTTCCCTCATCTTACTATTTAAAATTGAATTCAACTCTTCCCTCCCAGCACTCCTTAGCCCCCTTCTGACATACCATTTTCCTTGTTTTTTTCTGTAATTACAGAAAGGCTGGGTTTTTCCCTTTGTTTTGTTCACTGCTGTGTCTCTAGGGCTTGAAACAGTTACATACCGTAGTATGCACTCTATCATTGTCTATTTAATGAAATATACAGAGGCTCAGTGTAGTACATTAACTTCACTAAAGTCACAAGCTGGCAAGGGAATAGCAGAGTTGTGATCTGAACCATTTATTTCCCCCCTATATCATATTGATTCTTCCCTCCATCCTACTTCAGGTCCCCAAGAGAAAGAAATGTATGCATTACATTTCTTCAGAGACTACAAAATAGGAAGAGACAGACTGACAGGAGGGGAGAAGGGATCCTGGAACATGATGTGTGTATTTGAGGGAGGGAGGGGCTGATTGGGCGGGTATGAGGCTAAGGCCTTTCTTGTGGTGTGATGGAGGAGGGGGTCATAGGGAGAAATGTGTGTGGTGGTGAGGTCACAGAGCTCGCACTTCAGATTGGGATGCAAGTTCCTGAGACTGAGCTGGTTGTGTCAGGGCCCTTGTGTAGCAAAGGTCCCAAGGTTTACACTTATTGATCCCCTACTATTTTGCATAAATGCCTCATCTAATGATCCTCCTCCTGCAGTTCTCTAAAGCAGGCATTATTATACCCATTTTACAGAAGAACAAACAGAGGTTCAGCAAGGTTAAATCACTTGCTCAAGATTGTGCAGCTGCTAGGAGTTGGGAACTGGGTTTGGGTTGCTGGGTTTCTAGTATGCTGGGTTGGGAGTCGGGATGTCCAAGGGGGGATGAAAGGCCCTTGGGGAGGTATTGGGATGGTGGTGAGTTGGTCAGGGGGACCCATGGCACAGAACTTTTCCTGGGAGACTTGTGGGTAAAGGGCAGATCCTCAGGACCCGAGGTCCTAGGCATGGGGGGGTGTTGGGGGAGTGACTTCAGATTTTTGTGGTCTTCTGACTTCGTAAAGGGCCTGCTCTCAGCACTATCCCATGCTGCCAACTCTCCCTCCTTTCCCGAACTTTCTTCCTTGGCTTCTGTGAACTGTTGGATCCTTGGTTGCCCCCCATCCTCTCAGACCACACCTCCCTGGCACCTCCTTTTCTTTCCACCATTGCTCAGAGCCTGTGCTGGGCTTTCCTGTCTTCACTCTGCCTTCTCACCATGGGTGATCTCCTGAGCCTCCATTTAAGTGCTCATCCCCCTCCAATTTCCAACTCAATTAATGACCTTTTTCCTGACTTCCTTGAACTTATTTTCCTTATGCTAGCAAATACATATGGAGTGCTTATTGTGTGCCTGGCACTGTGCTAAACACTTTATAAGTATTAATTCATCTAATATTCATCATAATCCTGTGATTATTATTCCATTTTGTAGATGAGGAAATTGAGATCCAGAGCAGTTACATGATTTGTCCAAGTAGTGGAGGAGCCTCTGAAGCCTCTATTGAAATTGTGTCTGTGGGTCTCTATCTCCCTGCCAGTCGGGAGGTAAACATTTCCTTGAGCTCAGTAAATATCAGAATTGTTTAATGGAGTTAAATCATTCCCTGGAGCTAAACAGCACCCCCTCATTATTCTCTATCCTAAAACCCTGCATGAGGACCCTTTCCTTGAATTTCTCCCAATCTGCAATTATTCTCTTTATTAATTAATTTGTTATACTGTTGGCTCCATGAGGGTAGGGAGCTAGGTCTGTTTTGTTCACTGTTATGTCCCCAGCACTTCGATCAGTACCTGGCATATATCAGATTCTCAGAAACATGTGTATGAAATGAATGAGTTGGGCCGAAACCGGTTTGGCTCAGTGGATAGAGCGTCGGCCTGCGGACTGAAAGGTCCCAGGTTCGATTCCGGTCAAGGGCATGTACCTGGGTTGCGGGCACATCCCCAGTAGGAGGTGTGCAGGAGGCAGCTAATCGATGTTTCTCTCTCATTGATGTTTCTAACTCTCTATTCTTCTCCCTTCCTCTCTGTAAAAAATCAATAAACTATATTTAAAAAAAAAGAAATGAATGAGTTGGAATTAATATCAGCTAACATTAGTTGTGTGCATACTGTGTGAAGGCTATATATACTTTTGCTTTAGAACCTCTTTTATTGCCTGTCTCCTGCTCCTCCCTTTCACTAGAGCAGAGTCAGAGGGCAACAGCCTATGCCCGTCTTTTGTTTTTTAAGTGACAGTTTATTAGTGAAGCAGTGGGACAGAGAGGAGGCTACTCCACAGGCAGAGAAGCCTATGCCTGTCTTGCTCACCACATGTCATAGAGGCCTAGAGCAGTGCCTGGCACAAGGTAGGTGCTCAGTGCATGTGTAGTGACCTGACCAGGTACAGTGTCCTGAGGTAAGGTCTGAGCAGGAGCCACTGGGGAGGAGGTGTTGGTAGGTCCCACCCCACCCCCGTCCTCTCCCAGGTCTGTTGGGGTCCCAGGGGTGGGCTAGGGTGGGGGCACACCTGAAGGGGTACTCGAATTCAACCTCGATGTTGAGTTGACTGTGGGTCTTGTTGGCACAATCCACGCTCAGCTGGAGCTCTCCACTGTAACTGCCGCATGTGGCAAAGGCGAAGATGGCAAAGACCTTGGGCAGCAAGGATGGGATAGCCATGGTGTGCACCTGGGATGGGGGTGCCCTCCTCTGGACAGATCAGGGCCCAACACAGGCAACAGCAGATGGACTGGTCCCCGCCCCCACCCCCTAATCAGAGCTCATCAGACCCAAGGACAAGCTGATTAGAGGGGTGTGGCTGTCTCTTCCTGTCTTTCTCCTAATGTCTCTCTCTGTCTGTACTTCTCAATGATCTGACCCCCTCCTTCTCTCTCTCTTCTGTGTCAGTCTCTCTGTTTCTGTGTTTCTCTCTGTATTTCCGTCTGTCTGTGTTTTCTTCGTCTCTATTTCTCTCCGTCTCTATTTCTCTCGGTATCTCTCTCTTTATGTGTTTTTGTCTTTCTCAGATGTCTTTTTGTATCTCTGTTTCTCTGCCTCTCCAGTATCTCTGTCTCTGTCTCCCCGCCCCGTGTGTGAATGTATGTTTCTCTATATGTCTTTCTGTTTCTCAGCCTGTCTGTCTATATCTCCCTGCTGTCTTTCACCCAGTCTCTGTATAGTGTTCTCTCTGTCTCCTTTGTGCCTCTCTTTCTCTGTATATCAGCCTGTCTTTTTCTCTTTCTCTCCCCCACCCATTTTCAGTCTCCACCTCTCTTCTGTGTCTATTTCTCCTTCCATCTCTGTTCTCTGTGCATCTTTCTCTGTCTCTCTTCTCTTTGTCTCTTTCTGTTTGTCTCTTCTCTCTCTATCTCTGTATCTCTTTTTTCTCAGTATTTCACTCTCTATCTCCATCATTCCCTGTCTCTCATTCTCTATCTTTTTCACTGTCGCAGGTTTTCTCCTGGCTTTGCATCTCTCCCACAGCAACCAGCTTCAAGCTCCACCTCCCTGCCTCTCTCTCACCTCAGGAGAGGAGATAAGACGTCACAATCTTCCACTTCACAACGGGGGTACCCTTGGCCTTATGTGACATCACTTCACAGCCCATCCATTCTCTGGCCCCAAGCCCCAGGGACTTTACCCTGGAGTACAATACCACTATCCCCTTCTACCCTCAATCCAACCATCCATTTGTTGTTTTCCACCCCAACTGCATCCCTGCTCTTCCAGATCCCACTATCTGCCTCCCTCTCTCTCCCCATGGCCCAGACAACACTCACCCATTGCAGCACTTTCACAAAGCCAAGGGGCTCCTTGACCACCTGGAACTGGCCCCCAGCCACCAGCTGAGGAGAGAAATGGTGGGGAGGGGATGGGGTTGTTGGGGATGGAGAGGGAGGTGAGGGGTGCCACCAGGCGATGACCCCTGGGGATAGGGCATATGACCTCCAAGAGGGATTGAGGACATTCGTTTGGAGAGGGGGTGAGAAGGAGAAAGTGGCACTTCAGGGAAAGTGTGGGCACACCTTCTTTGAGAGAAGACCCTGGGGATATGGGGAGATAGATGGCTGAGGGGGGTGGGTGAGGAAGATGGGGTAAAGTCAGGATGAGTTAGGGAAGGGGAGAAGGTCTGAAATGGTAAAGGTGAGTCAGATGGAGAAAGGGATAGGGTGGAGTGAGTGAGGAAAGAGTCGGGGTTCATTAGAGTGGGGGAGGGGGTCCTGAGTGGTGAAGGTGAGTCATAACAGAGAGAGAGTCAGGTTGGCTAGGGTGGGGGAGGGGTCTGCTGCGGTAAACGTGAGTCAGATGGTGGTAATGGGGGGGTCTGAGGTGATAAGGATGGGGAGGGGTTGGTACTGGTTAGAGAGGGGCGAGTTTCTAATGTGTTGAAGAAGAGTGAGATGGCAAAGGGTCTAGGCTGATTAAGATGGGGGAGGGCTGGGACATGGCTTCACTGCATATATCCTGGGGGGGGGTGCGGGGGTGGGAGACTAGGGTTTTTGGACAGGCAAAACCTCCTTGGTCTGGTCTGGGGGAAGGAGTGGTTCTCTACCGGGGTAACGTCTCTGTTTGGGAGGGGCAGCTGTCAACCCTCCCCTCATCCCCCGCCCTCACGCCTTCTGTCGCTCTATTTCCTGGCTCATCCGCAGCACCCCCATCTTCCTTCTACTCTCCCCTCCCCTCCCCCTTGTTGTACCCTAACCCCAGGACTCCGTTTTCTTCCTGTAAGAAACCTAGTTGTGCCCCCCCTCCCCGCTGCGGCAGTGAGGACAGCCCTCGCTGCGGCAAAGAGCGCACTCCTTTTCTCCACCTCCCTCTTCCTCCCCTCGTCTGCTGCAGACCCCAGCCCCAGCATCGGGGGCTGGGTGTCTGCTGCTAGGACCCTGGTCACCACCTCTCAAAGTCGGTGGATTCTCTGCAACCCAGGCTGGGGAGGCCCGGCTGCAGCGGGCTCTGTCCGCGGTGCTGGAACGCGTACCTGATTCACCACGTCCATGTCGGCCAGCAGCAGCTTCAGCAATGCAGGGGGCGGGAGGAGCCTGTTAGCAAGGGCGGGTGCAGCGGGGGAGGGGGTACGCGCAATCGTCAGAACAGCCCAGACAACCACAGCTCCTCCCCTCGTGCCCCCACCTCATTGGCCACCTGCGCTTGCGCATATCAGCCAAGCTGAAGTAGCTGGCGGCCATTCCAGCCCCAAGGCTGGAACCCTGTGAATGCTCAAGGAAGATCTATGTCTGAAAACACAGGTAGAGGTCTGGGGAGAGAGGACCGTTAGGTCCTGCAGTATCACATTTTACCAGGCCCTTTATGGAGTTTGTTAAATGTGTTCACTCATTTAATCCTTACAACAGCCCTATGTATGTGGTAGGGACTGTTAGCTCCATTTATACAGATGAGGAGAATGAGCCTCCAGAGAGGTTAAGTGACTTGCACAAGGTTGCCCAGCTAGTAATTGGCAGTGCCCAAAGTCCCTGAAATTTAAACAGTTCAAGGTCTTGAGGGTTTCTTCTCATCTGCATTTTAAGCACATCTTAAAACCCCTCCTAGCCATCTTCCCTATTTCTCTCTTCCTCTTAAGTTAAATTCTTGCCTACTCTAATTCTACACTTTACGTCCTTTTTATTCCCCAGCCCACCCTTAATTGGACTACCCCTACTTCGTGCTACTAACACTAGGCCCACCAAAGGCAATGGTGGTTGCCATGTAACAACACCCAATGGACAAATACAGTTGGAATTTAAGATGCTCAACCTCACTCATACAAAAGAAATACCTATAAAAACTACTAAAATACTGTTTTTCATCTTTGAGGATGGTGAATATAAACAAGTTCAATAATGCTCAATATTGGCAGGTTGCCCAGAAACAGACATTCTCATAAGTTGATAGTAGAAGTTAAGTTGGCATAACCTCTGTAGAGGAGGGTGATTTGGCAAAATCTAGCAAACTAACAAATCCTTATACTGTTTGGCTCAGCATTTATACTTATAGGAATTTACACAGACAGATTCGTATATGTGCTAAAAGATGTATGTATAAGATGATATACTGCAGCACTGTTTATAATAAGAGTGGACACTCCCAAAGTGCTCATTACTTATAGCCCATTCAAGTAAACTCTGATACAACTACAACTACTATACAACTATCATTAATAATATAGAGATATGGGCCCTGGCTGAGTAGCTCAGTTGGTTAGAGCCATGGTGGGCAAACTGTGGCTCGGGAGCCACATGCAGCTCTTTGGTCCCTTGAGTGTGGCTCTTCCTAAGCCTTAGGAGTACCTTAATTAAGTTAATAACAATGTACCTACCTATATAGTTTAAGTTAAAAAAATGTGACTCTCAAAAGAAATTTCAATCGTTGTACTGTTGATATTTGGCTCTGTTGACTAATGAGTTTGCCGTCCACTGGTTAGAGCATCGTCCCTATGCCAAGATTGCTGGTTCCATCCCTGGTCAGGGCACATACAAGAATTAACCAATGAAGGCATACATGAGTGGAACAACAAATCAGTGTTTCTCTCTCTCACACACACACATCAATAAAAAACAATAATATGGAGCCCTAGCTGGTGTGACTCAGTGGATAGAGTGTCAGCCTATGGACTGGAGCAGCAGTTGCCAAATGGTGGCCCGCAGACCACTGTTGGTCCGGGAGGTCCGAAAGGTTGGCGATCGCTGGACTGGAGAGTCCCAGGTTCAATTTTGGTCAAGAGCACATGTCTGGGTTGTGGGTTTGATCCCCAGCAGGGGGCGTGTGCAGGAGGCAGTGAATCAATGATTTTTCTCTCTCATCAATGTTTCTCTCTCCCTCCCTCTAGAATCAATGGGGATTTTTTTAAAACCATCCATGGTGCCGCCCCTCGGACAGGGGCCTTTCCGGGCACGCACCTGCAGCTTTTTCTCTCTGGCCCTGGCGGCCTCGGCCGTGGCGGTTCTCATGGCGATGACTCTCACCAGCTTGGCGTTCTCCACCTGCAGCCACCGCTCGAAGTCGCCCAGGAGCTGGGGGAAGCCCTCGGGGCCGCCTCCTGCCAAAACCCTAATGTGGAGATATGGGATGGTCACCGAGAAATTTAGTTGAGGCATGCGACATGCCAAACTGTGTGGGGATTGTGTACAAAGAGAAGGGAAGGATTATATCATAATTATAAAGAGAATAACTGCCTGGCCGGTGTTGCTCAGTGGTTGAACATCGATCTAGGAAACAGGAGGTCATGGTTCGATTCCTGGTCAGGGCACATGCCAAGGTTGCAGTGTAGGGAGTGCAGGAGGCAGCTGATCAATGATTCTCATTATTGAAGTTTCTATCGCTCTCCTCCTCTCTCTTCCTCTCTGAAATAAATATTTTTTAAAAAAAGAGAGTAACGTTTTAAATTATGTCTATTCTGTGTCAAGCACTGTTCTGAGAGCTTCACAGCAACCCTATGAGGCAGGTGCTACTACTATATTCATTTTACAGGTGAATAAAGTGCAGAGAGGTGAAAGAATTTTCCTATGGTCACACAGCTGGTAAATGGTAAAACTAGGATTTGAACCCAGGAAGTCTGGCCCCAGCATCTGTTACTCTTAGCCACTAACTTAGAAATACAGAATCCTACACATGTGTAAAATATATCTGATAATGCTGGTTGCCTCCAGAGGGAAGGGAAATTTTTCATTGTATATCCTTTTGTACCTTTTGAATTTTGAATCCTCTGAATGTATAACTATTTTTTTAAAATATATTTTATTGATTTTTTGCAGAGAGGAAGGGAAAGGGATAGAGAGTTAGAAACATCGATGAGAGAGAAACATCGATCAGCTGCCTTCTGCACACTCCCTACTGGGGATGTGCCTGCAACCAAGGTACATGCCCTTGACGGGAATCGAACCTGGGACCCTTGAGTCCGCAGGCCGACGCTCTATCCACTGAGCCAAACTGGTTAGGGCTGTATACCTATTTTTTAAACACACACACACACACACACACACACTCAAATTCACACAAATATGTAATGGCTACTTCTCAGTTATTGTCTTACAGGGTTGGCGGGGTGGGGAAGAGCATGGGTCTTGACATTCAGTTGCTTGAATTTAAATCCCAGCTCTAATATTCTGTATGACTTTGGACATGTAAGATGTTTAAAATGATACTTATAAGGTTGTTGCTCTGGTTAAACAAGATAATCATTGTAATGCATTTTGCACAGGGCCAAATAAATGCTTCATTTTACCTCCTACATATCTCTGGAATCCACTCCCTTCTCACCATCTCCTCTGCCACCTTCCCTGGCTAAGACAACCATCGTTCCTGCCAATTTAGCATCTTCGGTCTCATTTCCTTCCCTTCTGTTTTCAGCACAGTCATCCGAGCATCTATTTAAAATGCAAAGTTAACTATGTCACTACCCAGCTCAAATCCCTCCCATGGCTCTCCACTGCTTTTAGGAAAAGTCCCAAGGTTTTGGGCCTAGAATTGAAAGGCTCTGCCTCATCTGGCCTCAGGTGGCCTCTCCCACTTCATCCCTTTTGTTTTAATTGCTTAAAGTATTACAAAGGGTATTCCACTTCATCCCTTAATAGCTTTTCACTCTCTACTTCCTGCCTATGACTTGCTGTTGTCACAATACACCAGCCCAACTACTCTATATTCTGAGTCCCAGTCTCCAATTTTGGCTTTCCTCAAATTTCAGTACTGGCTCACTTGACACAAACTTTACAAATGAGAAACCCCTGCTTTGAGACCTGGGAGGAGATCCTAGGGGCCTAGTGGTGACCCCATCCCATGCCATTCCCAGCACTGCCTTCAGTTCCTTTGGAGTGGGGCTGACTACCACTTTGGACAAGTCATATCACATGTCTAAGCCAGCTCAGTTTCCTCTGAGGGAAACCCAGAACAGTGCCTGATACAAAATAAATGCTGGGTAAACTTTCACTGAATGAATGAGATCCCAGAGGTTGGACAATGACTAAAGGTAGGGCAAGAAGCAGAAAGAGGAGCTCTTGGATCTGTGTGAGAGGAGAGTGGGTTACTCTTAGCTGGTCTCAGAAAAGCTTGTTGGGCCCTGAGTGGGACTTCCTGGGCAAGGAGTTCCATCCTTTGCTGTCACCCATGTCTTCTGGCAATGGATTTAGATTTTCTTTTTCTCAGGCAGAAGGTGGCAGAAGGTGGAATGTGGGAGACAGGGTGATAACAATTTAGCCCCCCTGAAATCCCTGATGCCATCAGAGGACCCCTCTGCCTGACATAACACATATCAGGCTAATTCATTTTAAAATATGTTTTTAATTTATTTTTATTGATTTCAGAGAGGAAGGGAGAGAGAGATAGAAACATCAATGATGAGAGATTGATCGGCTGCCTCCTGCACGCCCCCTACTAAGGGATGAGCCCACAACCCGGGCATGCGCCCTGACTGGGAATTGAACCATGACTTCCTGGTTCATAGGTTGATGCTCAATCACTGAGCCACGCCGGCCGGGCTATACCAGGCTAATTCTAACCTCTAGGCCTTTCTATTGGCACGACTCTCCTCTGGTTTTCTTATCCTTCTATGTGTCTTTCCTTAGTCTGACCTGACTGACCCCTTGTAGGGTCTCTGACTTTACCACACTCCTCATCCAAGTCGCCTCTCCTTTCCTCCATTTCTGTCCAGTGTGCACCCCTCCCCCACCACCTCCATTCTGCCTCCAGCTTTTTTTGGCTGCTGTCTCTTCCTCCTCCTCCTCCCTCCTTCACTGACGCTGAGTAATCAGACCTGGCTGTCCTGGTTTCCGGAAATACCCATGTGTGGGCAGTGGCTCAGCACTGAACCAGGATGGATGGATGGATGGATGGATGGATGGGGGCTTTCAGGCAGCCCTAGGCTCCGAGTGCAAAAACATCAAACTCCAAGAGTGTGGTCTAAGCCTGTCTCCCTCTGGGGAAGAGAAGGCAGGAGGTTTATTGAGCAGTGGGGTAGGGGTGGGAAGTTAGAGGGCATGGACACAGGCCATCTCATCTCCCAGGTCCTCTTCATCGAAGCGGGAGAGGATGGACTCCTCATCACTATAAAGTGAGCTGGTTCTCTGTGCCAGCAGGTCACTGGCAGCACTGTCCA